CTAGCTGGGGAACATTTAACCGGTGCTTAAAATTACCAAATAATTATTAGTATTTTCAATAATTCACTGCCTGAACCATAGGCCCTAAAAAGATTTTATACCCAGATATGTCACAAATAGAACCCTAATAGGAGAACCAAGTGAAAGTCTAGGGGTATTAGGTATAATATTACAAAACAATTTACCACTTATCTACTAATAAAACATATTCCTCTTGCAACTACTAGAATAACTCTAACAATTAAAAACTGATTTTAGAACATGTGCGGCCCTTGCCTAAAGCTTCTCAAAGACAAAATAAATAAAGAGGAAACTAAGTCAACGATATATGCAGACACTCCTTAAATAGGAAAAGATTGAAAAACTTCTGTTTCTCAATCTTTTTGTTTTATGTACTATTTGTTTTGTGTACTATTTGTTTATGTACTATTTGTTTTGTGGAAAGTTTTTAATTGTTCAATAAAACATTAAAAAAAAAAAAACTTATAGATTTATTATTTTGCTAATAATAACATGGTGGAAAGTACCCCTCTAGGTAGTCGAAACTACCCCAGCGGGGTACATTCGACCACTTTGAGGCTTACCTTTAAGAGAGTGGTAGTAACAAAAATAAACATTTTATATACATTATCTTTTTAATTAATTTTTTTAAGACCATTACTTGTAATACTAAAAAAATTTAATAATTTCTGGCAAAAAATCAGTAGTAAATTAATTAAACCAGCTAAGTGGTTGAATGTTCCCCGTCTTCCCCTACATGTTTCTTTGAAATACTTTAAAGAGCTAGTTTATGTCAGAGTGAAACCCAAGTTTAATACTATTGATTTTAAATGTTCTATCAATTAAACATTTGATTAGAATAACTCTGTAATATGGTGTGAAGACCAGAATAGGTCTTCATACTAATTTTCAAACTTTTTAATTGATTTCATTGTATTTTTGTATTTATATTATTAGTTTCTACAAGAATAATTCTATTTTATATTGTTTTTTTTTAAACATCTTTATAGGTATTTTATCAAATTTTAAATATATAATTTTAACTAAAGATGACTAATGTTAGTTGAAACATGTATTGTTTTTTATTAAAAAAATTGTTTTAAAAATTAGAAAGTATGTTTTGTTTATGAATCGTTTTTTATTTATTATGAAAAGCACATAATTGCAATAAAAAAACAATTAATTATGAAAATTTTAAACGCATTTTTAAAGACTTTAAAAGAAAACACGCTAAAACTACTTTCTTCAATGGAAAGAAGAAAGTAATTATGTTTGAGCATGATTTTTGCATGCGTTTACAAAAGCATTCAAAATTAAAATGACTGCATTTGCAATTACATAAAAAAAAAGTTAGTTATTATAGTACTTTTACTCTGTTATCTTCTTTTTCTAGAATCTTTTCTGGGAGGTGCTTTAGAATACTGATGAACGGTTTCCGGGCTAACTATTTTGACTGAAGATTCCGAAGAGTCAGGTTGATTATTTTTTTCGTATAAATGTTGATTATCTGGTTGTTGAATTTCTGACTGCTTAACTGAAAGAGGTCTGTCAATAACACTAGATGATATGAAATCACTTTCCCAAAATATTTGTCTATTGAGTGGATAGATCCCATACTTTTGAAACTCACTGCAAACATTTTTTATTGTAACAACATATTATATGCTGTGCACGCTAGTTGAGGCAAATTATAAATGTTCATAATCCTCCCTGGATTGGATGCCAACCATTCATTCTGAGCCTTATAAAATCCTTGTGCTTTACCCTCGGAAATATAAATACAGGTGGAACTGTATTACCCATAGCATTAACAAAAGCCAACATTGTCACCAACAACCCTCTTTCTGCTGAAACAGCTTGACAAACTTATTTAGCTCCGCAAGTTGAAAAAATATTTGGAGGTTACGTACCTGTTAGTAACCTTGCCTTATCTGCATTAAAAATATATTCAAATTTGAATTTATATTTTAATTGAACTTCAAAAACTTAAAAAAAATATGGACACAGTATGTTCATTAAAGGCAGTATAGCAATGCTGACTTTTTCTGGTTTTTGTAGTAATAATTTTGGATGACGCATCAAAAAACTGGCCATCCATTGTTTTCCTACCATTTTATTTAGGTGCCATGAATCAGGTATATTTTTTAAACTCAATCCAACATTATACTTGTAAGCTAACTGCCTATTTAAAGTTTTCTAGCAGTTTTAGAAATCATTTGCTCTACCTACTGTAGATTTTGATAAATTATATTTTATAGCTGCATCTTGAATTGACTCTTAAGAACACTTTTGACTGCATCTTCAATATCTAAAGAACTTTTTCAAATTAATTTTGTATTTGGTTTCATCTAAAAGAATTTAAAAACTTTATAAAAATCAAATAAATGAAAACGTCACAGGATACTTGTATTATATGATTAAACTATATACATATTTGTGTAAGCATGCAGTGTGTATAAATACAATTACAAACACAAAACTGAATATCAAAAGTAAACCAATTCATTAAATATATAAACGTATATAAGTCTAATAAATTACTACAGGCTTAAACTTTAAATATAATTAGGTGTATATTTTATAGTACAACAGAAATTCAAAGAATGACAATAGTTTGTTAAAATGGTTTGTTAAAATAGTTTGTTAAAATCTTTTATAAGTACAGGGTTTTTGCCTTTTATTTATTTATTGGAGAACACACAATATCTTTAATGTAAATAAAAACTGGACTTCTTATTCCTTTTCCTTATATCTAATTAAAAATTTCTAAATATCTAACTAAATAAAAAAAATCTTTTTAAACAAATTATTGATGGACTAAACTTTAAATTATATGAAAAAAGTTTTTTTAATTTACTTAAATTCCAAATTTTAAAGTTGTTATTAAAGTAAAAATATATATAAATTGATTACTTTAAACTTTCAAACTAATATTTAAATTTTAACTAAAGCATCAGCTACACTTGTTTAGAACCACACTATCAGAACTGGTTAATACATTAAATCAAATAAAAAATATGAGTGACCATATCTAAGTTGCCAAAATATCTTTTTTCGCTTTTTTCTCAATAATTTGTTTGAACAAGTCCCATTCAATAATCATTACTTTGTCCCATCCAATAAGCTTCCCACTTTATCCACAAATAAAGGGCCAGACTAAAAATAACATTACCTTAACGTAAATGGTTTAAAGTCTTTAAAACTAGAGACAACTGTGTATTTAAAAATGGAGTTTAATTTTCCATAATTTCAGTAATCACTGCAAAATCAGAAAAATATAATTGTTTTTTAAAATTACTTTTTGTTTCTCAAAACACAATATCATCTAATGCCATTATGCTAAGACCATAATATCTATTGAATGACTGTATCTAACACTTTTTACCATAGGAGTTTGAATATCTAACTGTAGATGCTTCTATGAGAATTTGATTTTGCCCCATTCAATAATTGTCCCAATCATTAAGGTTCTCCATTATATTATTATTATATTGTAAAAGAATAATTGTATTTTGTATTGTTTTTTCCACACCTTTATTGGTATTTTAACAAATTTTAAATATTTAATTTTAACTGAAGATGACTAATGTTAGTCAAAACATGACATTTTTTAAATAAAAAACAAAACATTGCTTTTTATTTAAAAAATGGTTTTAAAAATTAGAAAATTTGTCTTGTTTATGAAGTTATTTACATTTTTGGTGCTTAAAAGAAATTTTGGTTATATATATATATATATATATATATATATATATATATATATATATATATATATATATATATATATATATATATATATATATATATATATATATATATATATATATATATATATATATATATATATATATATATATATATATATATATATATATATATATATATATATATATATATATATATATATATATATATATATAAGGCTCAAGGCCCAATATAGTAAATATACAATGGGTAAAATAAAGTGGATATAAAAAAAAAAACGCACTTGAATATAAACAAAACCTAGGAAAAATATATATATATAATAAAGTGCTATAAATATAACTCAGCTCTCCATTTAATCAACAATGGAGACTGCAAGAACCTGTCAGAGTTAACAAAAGCTTTTAAGACAAGATTCTCACTATTCTGCAACTGAAACAATGAAGAGCATTGTTGCTTACAAATAACAACATTAAATGAATGGACAACATGTTTCACAAATAATTCACTAACACTGTTCCATGGTGGCTTGTTCAATATCAAGCAAAGCGCATTATTATATGCAACACATAGACGATAAAATGAGTCTTTTCTCCAAAGATACCATAACTGACATCCATAGATTGGGCTGCAAAAAACATTAAATAACATGATCTTTGTATTTGTGTAGAGCTAAACTTTCTACGGTGAGGTTCGCTTTAGCATATATAAAACGTACATGTTTTAAGATATCTTTGTCATTCAGCATATCATTTGAGATCAAATGACCCAGGTATTTATATTGACAAGTGTATGTGAGAACCCTGTCAGATAAGGTGAAACATGGGCTATTTAGGGGTTCATAAATTTTAAAAAGCATTATTTGAGACTTGATACTGTTTAAACTATATCATGCTTTTCAGCATAACTAAAGCATAAGTCAAGTAATATCTGGAGACCTTTGGCTGAGGGTGCACACAGGACAATATCATATATATATATATATATATATATATATATATATATATATATATATATATATATATATATATATATATATATATATATATATATATATATATATATATATATATATATATATATATATATATATATATATATATATATATATATATATATATATATATATATATATATACATATAAAATACATATAATTATATTAATATAATTTTGATTTTGGGAAAAGTTTACTGGCTCTGTAGTATTCATAACACAAAAGTAAAAACATATGCATAATTGATAAACAATAAATGATAGAAAAAAATATAAATGGTAAAAAATTCAAATTAGGACCTGAAGAACAGATTTAGATACTTTTGTAGCAAATTTTACATCGAATTGCAGACAATCAAGGTAATAATAGATTTTTCGTGTTGAATTATTATTTACAATAAACTGATTCATAGCTTCATATGTACAGGATGGCAATTTCTCTACCATTAAACCAACTGCTGAATTCCCATAACTATCATATGTACCAACCGGGACTCCTATTTCCAAAAAATATTTTACAGCTTTATGACTACCTAAAAAAAAAAGACAAAATTAGTAAATCTACTTTACATCTATTTATAAGTTATCAATTAAAATGATAACTTGATGCACATGAACACAAGTATCAAAGTATCTATTCAAACTATAGTAAACCATTTAACATATGTAAAAGCTTAAAGATGAATTATAATTCATGTAGGTTAATAATTCTAATTATTTAAAGTTAACAAGACATTTTATTTTTGCAACTAAGTGTATTAAGGTAAACACAAAATGCTATTGATGACATCATACTGATAATCTGTTTCATATTTGAATCTTGATCAGTATAATATTCTGAGGTATTTATTGGCCTTATAGTTTTTAGTAAACTCCTTCATCAATATGTAAGATACTGTCTTCATCAATATGTAAGATATTTTAAAACAGTTAAAACTTACCAAACTCTACAGCTACATGAAGAGGTGTTCTCAATAAAAAATCAACACTATCTAGTTTGGCGCCATGACTAATAAGAACCTCTATTGAATGTATAGCATTATACCGTGCAGCATAATGCAATGCTGATTGTTCTTCACCAGTGGTTACAGCATCAATTAAAGCTTTAAAATATATAAAATACATTTTTAAAAATCTCAAATTGAAATCAATTTAAATTAGTAAATATTTCAAATTCATATCTAACATCAATTAACTATAATTATAGTTTATTTGTAAACTAATAAATAATAAAAAAACAACAAATAAATCTGAAAATTTGTAAATGAAACAGTAATCCTTTTAGTTATAGTTTCTTAACTAAATTCCTGATCTGCAAAATAAAGATTCAGTCCTGATCTTCAAAGCAATGCCGAGATACTTATAAAAATTACTTCAGCTATATCATGATGCTATATTCAAATTTAAAAAAAAAGCATTGTGGTAACTCATCCATACCACAAAATTTATTAGCTGTTATTATATATATATATATATATATATATATATATATATATATATATATATATATATATATATATATATATATATATATATATATATATATATATATATATATATATATATATATATATATATATATATATAAATATATACATGTGATTTGTTTTAAGTTGTTACTTATTTTATTGTAAGTTATTTTATAGTTATTTATATATTTTTTATTTTTTAGCCTTATAATATAACTAATTTTGAGAAAAAAAACTTTTTTTTTAAATATTATTAGCATAATATCATTTCACTGTATTTCTTATAGTGTTTTTCATATAAAAAAACTGTAAAAACTATGTATGTTTCTATGTAAAGCTTTATACTTTGTTATGCTGACTAATACTATGACAATACTACACTAATGTTATATTGCTAATTATATTTCAGTAAATAGAATGTTAAGATACAAAACATTTCATCCTTTATTTAAAAATCCACAATTTAAGTTGCAACTACCAATAGGACTAGATGTGATGTGGTATATGGTGTATTTGTGAGAAAATGTAAGCAACCTATACTGCATATCATTTCTCAAATAATAGTACAATTAAATAAATACTATAGTTTTACAGAAACTTCCTGGAAAAACTAAGAATAAGAATAAACCAGCTTTAACAGCAACACTAACAATGTGTCATCATTTACATCCTTGACAAAGAGAGTTGTTAACTTTTTTGAGCAATGTTAAAACCTTCAACAGCTGAAAGAAAAAATAAAATAAAAAATTTCAGCTCTATAACGACAGATTAAATAAACTGACTGATATATATGCTTGCCAATGCAAAAATCTTCGACAATGCTGCTATGGCAAAGTAAATATGGTACTAGCTATGGAGCACATTTTCTGGAAGAAACAAGGAGCGAACTTGGATCAATAGACAAAGCAGAAAAAACTGCAGAGTATTCGAAGTAAACAGAGCTCAGATCTTAATAATATAATATAGTACTATTTCTGCCACACCTATAACATCAGCTGTACTTGAGGATGTTGGCATTATTTCAGATGATGACAAACAAAGTTATTGAACAAAGCAAGATAAAGTGTGTTCAATTGAAAGTCATAGTTAACTGGAAAGTTAGTGAAGTTCAAGTAAAGGTGTTGTACTTTGATGGTAAAAATGAACAGACTTTTAATAAAATGAGAACCATAGGGAAAAACACATATTTTTGATTTAGAAACCTTGATGAGGTTTTCTGAGACACTGCTCTTTTTTTAGCAACAGCTGAAGCATTGAAATCCCAAGTTCTATACAGTTCTAAAAAGCACAATATCATTTTGAATGATTTACAAGTGCTAGGTGGTGATGGAACTAATGTAAACATTAGAAGCAAGGGTGGTGTTATTTGATTGATTGAGTTTAAAACTTCAACAGCATCTGTAATAGGTAATTTGTTTGCTACATGCAAATGAGCTTCCACTAAGTCATATGTTTGAGGAGTTGAATAGACCAAAATCTGGTTCTAGATACTATTCAGACTCTATTAGAAAGTCTCTTGTAACTTATAAGTTTTTAAAAGTTGTTGATTTTCAATCTATAAACCATAAAGTAGAAATGCTAGAGAGTGCACTGAAAAATGGTCATTACAGATCAGCTTTGTCTTTTTGACAGCTTATACAGAAAGAAGAAAGTTAATCAAACAAGTGTGCGGCAGTTCCTACTCTCAATTTTATGGCATAAAATATGTTGGACTTGATTAATTGGAGTAATTTACAGTGGGCACAGCTTTCACTAACAATCATAGATGAGTTTTTTCACTTAAATTTCCTTTAAAGTTTTCAAAAATTTCTGAATGTTTTTTCTGAAAATTCCCGGAAAAAGCTTTTCTATGAACAATACAGCTCACTGGTGAGCAATTCGAAGTAGCAAAAGAAGATTACATTCAACTTAGAGATCTTTTGGAAAAGTTATTGTGCCACACAGAAGCAGTAGAACGCTGTGTAAAGATGGTAACAGCTGTGTCTGCTTTGGTTTGTGGTGATATGAAAAGAAATTGAGAGAATATGCCAATAATTAACATCAAGGCAAATTATTATAAAATCATTTAGTACAATTTTGACTCTATGTATGTTAATAATATGTAGTAAATGCAACTGTTCCTCATTCTAAACCTCCTTTAAAATAGCTTGTTAATAGATAAGAAAAAAAAGACATTCAAAAGTAAAAATACTACAAATTATTACTTAAAATAAAAACATCAAATATGGTGAATTCTAAAAATTTGTTTGAATTGGCCAAAATTGCTGCAAGGGTAATTCTTGTCCAATTTCGCTTATCTTAGACTCATTTTTTTAGTTTTCTTATAACTAATATAGAAATCAGGGAGAATAGTTGTATTTCTGAAAAAAGTTATTTTCACTCCAACCTAGCACCCATGTGACCATTGGAGTATCTTCGAATCAAAGGCTAGTAGCTATTAATACTGAGATCCAAAAAAAGAAACAACTGAACTCAAATAAGTCTCATTAAAAGCAAGCAAGTCTTGTAAATTAAAATTTTAAAATTGACGACATATAAAAATCTAAAAGACATAATTTTAAAAAACTTACCTCCATTTTTGATAAGAACCTCTATCATTGCAGAGTAATCTATAGCTGCTGCAAGATGAAGTGGAGTTCGACCGTATTTGTCCTTGTGATTAACATCAGCTCTTCTTTCGATTGCAAAACTCGCTACATTAACATGCCAGTCTCGAACTATAGCAAAAAAAACACTTTGACCGTAACAATCTGTAAAGTTAAGGCTGGCTCCTTCGTCTAACAGTGCTTTGACAAATTGCAAATTTACAGTGTCCTCATCATCTGCTCCATTCCCCAATCTACCAGTAACAAAAGTAACTTATAGTAAGTTATCACTTTTTTATATTTGACTTATTTTATATTTGTATTCAATTCTTTTTTTATTCAACATTTATTTTCCCAGTCTTGTAAAATGAATATGTATACCTTCTTCATCTTGTTGTAATCTTGAATATAATGCAATAGGATATAAGTGGTTATACATATCATTTCCCCCCCCCCCCCTAATACTAACTTAAAGTACTTTATGAACGCAAATAAGTGCAAAATAGAAATAAACAATATACTTTTTTATTGAAAAGAGACAATAGAAAACAGTTTATAATGAAAAGCTATATCATTAAAATAGAAAATTGAAAAGAAAAAACTTGTTTTGATTGAAGTTGTTGAGAAAAAGATCCTAAAATGAACAGGCGGCAAAACTTATACAGGTGAAGTTTTAGTAAAATCAAAGAAAAAGGCAATATACATCATATTTTTACATGTTTTTTACGTAATATCTTTTTCTGTATCATATTTTTTTGAGAAAAACAGAGAAAAAAAAGTTTTGAGAAAAACAGAATTTTGGAAAAAATAGGAAAAAAATAGAATGGCTAACTTACGGTAAATTAGTCATTCTATTTTTTTCCTATTTTTTTAATAAAATCGTCTTTTGATCGTTTCGAACGTTCGAAAGACGTCTTTTCAGGTCTCGTACAAAAGACGTCTTTTTAGGTCTCGTACCCACTGTCCGACAAATAGAAAAACCTTAAATTAAGGAAACGGTAGATGATAGAATCAAAAACCTATTTGACGTTTGAAGTTTTGTATAAATTGATGACCGGAATATTGCAAAATATGTGCTTGCATTGATTTTTAAACACTTTTTAACAAAAACTATTTTTTTAACTTATTGCTTGCCCAAACCGAAACCCTTAGTTGATATAAGTGATATAAGTACACACCCTGCATGTTCTAGTTATTTAGTCAGTCGTACATTTCCCGCATGTTCCAGGACCGACGACACCAAAGGGGGATAGGTCTGTGTTGTCGTGCCCACCACTTTTTTCCAAAGGGACCTTTTTTTTTTAAGAAAATTCTAGATATAGAAGATTTTTTTTAAGAATTGACGATTGTGCCCCCCCCCCCTACTTTGAAACCCGTGTGCTCTACCTATTTAGTCAGTTGATGTATGTACACTACCTGCCTGTTCTACATTTTCAAGTCAAAATTTTATAAACAATTTGACTTTTTATTAACAACAATCATAGACATTACGCATAAAACTTGAACTAAATACTTTAAAATATAACATAAAAGTACACACAGAGACATAAGCGTTCAAGAGGAATCGATCCCACGTTGCCGGGCGACGAGGTAAAATTGCAATCACAAGACTACGCTACCCATATATATGATTGTATTGTAATTATATAGTTTGTTTTTTAAGCTACGCAATTATTAAAAACAATGATTTATTATTTGGTCTTTAATTTACACAAAACTTTAAACGTCGGAATAGGTTTTCATTCTATCATCTACCTAAGATAACGCACAAGTAATAAAAAAAAAACATGGATAAAATGAAGAGCCGACGACACCTGGAGGATGGGGGGCAGGAGCACAAGTTCCCCCACTATTTTTCTGAAGGACTTTTCTTTTTTTTTTTTTAAGAAAATTCTAGATATAGAGAACTCTTTTTAGAAATTGGCGACTGTATCCCCCTCCCCTCTTTGAAACCCAGGTCGTTGGCCCTGAAATCTATCAGGCTCATTCGTTTCTGATAGTATCTATCACATTCGAAGTTACTTTAGTATCAGGATAAACATCCTTGGCACTATTAGAGCTTTGCTACATCTATCATCCAAAACGTTAAGGTACGATTAGCATTTTAACACCCCATTTCACTGACAGAACCAACAAAGTTTATATTATAAATATGGAAATTTCACCACTAGCATAAGTAATAAGATATCTTGCCTTTGCAAGGTTTTGATTTGTAGTGAAAAGTGGATCCAGGTTCAAAAGGTGCTTTGCAACTCCTCAACTTTTAACAATTTTTAAATGTAAAATTAGAAATTCTTTAGTTTTTTATTGTTGCTGTTGAAAAATCAGGCAATTATAAGTAAAGTTTTGTAACATTAATGTCTAGCAGAAATACATTTTTATTTATTTTATTGTATTTTCTTTTTTTTATTATTATTTGATTAGACAACTTTCATAAAGGCGCTTTCCAATTACCCTGCTGTCATCGAAACTGTTTTTGATTGACCAATCAAATTGGCCAATTAGGTTTATTACGCAAACTTTTAGGGGCTGCTAATTTGGATAAAAACCACTCCGGTTATGCCGGGTGAAAGGTCTTCTTGGGACACCTAAAAATAATAACAAAAAAAAAAGTCGTTTCACAACATTTGTAAAAAAAAAATTTTAACATCTGTCGTTAAGTTTTTAAAAACAAAAACTTTTATTTTCATAAGTTGATTATCAAAAACAAGCAATATTACCAAGCTTTTAATATGCATAAAATTTTAATGAATATTTATTGTATTATTTGTAGCAAATCGAACTATATTACAAGGCCGACGACACGGGTTTCCAAGTGGGTGTAGGGGGTTTAGGGTGGTGAAATAGTCAATTCTTAAAAAAAGTCTTCTACACCTAGAATTTTCTTAAAAAAAAAAAGTTACATAATTCTACAAGCTCTCTCCTCAAGTGTTATGATAAATGCTGAAAGTTTTGGTACATATGCTACAGAAACTGCTCAAATTTATGTGAGTAATTATACCTGGCACTATATGCTGTCTTCAGTACACAAAATTTTACTTCACGGAGAAAACATCATAAAACATTTTACAGTACTATTGGTCAACTTTCAGAAGATGCGCAAGAATCCCGTATTAAAGATTATAAAAAATATCGCCTTCATCATGCCAGGAAATATTCTAGATTAGCAACAAATAAGGACGTATTTCATGTACTGTACTCTTCTGTACAGTTCCGATCCCTACATCACCAGCATTAGAAAACCGTACAGCTAAAATGTTTAAGAACTTGATAAAGATACTTTGCAGCTTTTAAAAGTCGACATTTTTTATTCGATAAAAACTAACTGTATAAAAATTGTTATTAATAAACTATTATGAATATTTCTATAATAAGCATTTTTACACACTCTTGAAAGTATTCATTTAAATGTCGAAATATATGCAAATTAATTGATTTCATGCAACAATTAAAAAATCAAACTAATAAAGCAGTTAAGCCTAATATAAGGAAAATGTTTGTTAAAAAGTTTAAAAAGTGATTGTTTTTATTCAAAAGTTTAGCTGAAAGCTTGTATAAATGGTTTTTATATATAAATAAATTTAATATGAATATATTTTCCAATTAAATGAACATTTAATGTATTTTTTGCTGTTTCGAATACTTTCAAATTTTTTTTTATTTAATTAAAAAGAACATGTTTAGTTAAAAATAAAATAAAAAATGAAAATTTTTTATTTTTTGATTTTTATTTACAAATTTTATATTAAAATGTTTTTTTATAAAATATATTTCTTTAGAAGCGTCATATAGGATAACCTGGGGCAAAGCGAGACATTTAGGTTTTCTAGCATTGTACATATTTTTTTGAAATGATGCAGTAATTTTGGTTTATTATATTAAAAATATTTTTTTAATGTTTTAAAGTAGTTCCATCAGTTTTTTTCCTATAATATGACATAGAAAAGTGGGTTTAAAGCTTACGAGTTGCGTTAATTTGATTAAAAAATCAAATTAACGCAACTCGTTTTATTTGTGGAAAAATTCAAGTACGCTAACATTTTTTACCACAGAACAAACATAATATTGAGTTTGTAATCATTTATTTGTTATTTTTCAGCTGCCATTCTTCTTTTTATGCCAGATTATTTTGTTTCAAAGATATTTAACAGATATATAACTTCACATTTACGGGGAAAGTACGACAACGCTAGTTATTGAAAAAGATCGTCGAAGTAAGCGTTTAGGTAACAAGTTTATAAACTTTATATTTATAAAATGGTCAAAGTAAACGTTTACGATAGCAAGTTTATAAACTTGCTATCATAAAACTTTCATAAAATGATGATAGTTTATAAACTATCATCATTTTATGAAAGATTTTTATGTAAAAGTAAAACATAATTTTATTAGAAACTTTAAAAGAATATAACATAACTTTGTTGTAATTTGAGGCAATCCTGCTTGCCTCAAATGTTGAACCAATCTGCTGGATTAGTGTTCACTTCGAATTATTTTGTTTGGCTGTCGTGGAAATGGACTGTGTTTAATGCCTCATCATGAAAGCGCTTTAGTTTACGCTTTCTTTTAGTAGCGAGTTCAGTTTCAATCCCTAGCGGTCCAACTAAAGTTATAGCCTCATGGAAAATTTTCAACCAAGAGCCCCTAATCCGTTTAAGACTTTCCTGCAGCTGTCCAATCAAACGCAGCTTGTCATCAATGGTAATGGCTTCAGATTGTAGAAGACGACTAACGTCGTTAATAACAGTTAAAGGTTTTGTACCAAATCATAACTAGCAACACAAATTCAAAAGATAATAATCATTTTATTAAGTCTCATGCATTGGCATGTCTTGTCAAGTGGTTTGATCAAGTCGTTACGAGAGCTCCTCTTGTTATAGAAAGTTTATGCAGTAAAGTTTCTGTTGCTTTAGTAAGAATCTTCCATTCAGCAAGACTTCCACTAAAAAATACGAACCAAGATCCAACATTTTCAAAGAATACTTTGGTCTTAATGGCTGATTCAACTGCGTGCACACTAACTAAATTCAGACTGTGGGCGCTACAGAGAGCTATCTTGTAAGCACCTGACATATTGGATCCATTATCGTGTCCCGGACCACGACAGTTTCAAATATCCATACCTAGCCTTGAAATCGCATCATTGATAAGCTTAGCTATATCGACTCCTTTCTTCATCTCGAAAGTTTCAACATACAAGAATGGTTTCTTGATTTGTCAGCGATTAGTTTCTCTTTCCTAGAAGAGAAAACGA